AGCAAGAGAATTTGAGGTTCTTTAGTTTATTTGCCTCCTATGGCCAATCGACGAGTCTTTTCTTCTTCTTCTTCTTCCCTTTTTTTTTTCACTCATGCAGTGGTGGTTCCAAGATTCGAAAGCCGACCGGACAAAACTTATATAATAAACTCAACGATACGAGTGAATTTCATTAATAAACATAAAAAGATACACTTAGTAAGGGGGATGTAATGAGCCTTACCATCAAATGCATCCATATCTACAAATACAAAAATTAAAATAAAAACCAAAAGTAAAGTTAAAAGAAAAAAAAATATAGTACACATTAAAAGAAAGATAAAATAGGACACTACATTAATTTTAAAAAAGCTAGGTTTATATATCGAGAGAAATGGGAAGGAAGAAAATTGCCGGAGCTAGGTTTTTTTTTAATTTTTTTAAAATGAGTTGTGACCTCATTTCTCCCCTTGTTTCCTTTTATAGACCTCTATTATGACACTTATTTTTGGTTTTCCACCTCGAGCTCCACAGCCCCATCAATTATGTTCAGTAATTTCTGAAACAGCTGTCTTTGTGCGAGACAAAAAAAATTAATAATCATAAGTAGTGTAGGTAATATTTTTTTTAACAAAAAGAGAGAAGGAAAAGGAAGAAAAAAGAAAAGGAGAGAAGATAGAAGAAAAAAAGAATGAAAAAAAGAAGAAGAGGGAGAGATGAGAGAAGGAAAAGAAAGAAAGAGAGAGAGAGAGAGAGAGAGAGAGAGAGAGAGAGAGAGAGTAGGAAAAGATAAAAAAAAAGAGAGGAAAATGTAGGTAGTAGTTTTTAACAAAAATTTGGGCACAGAGAGAGAGAGAGAGAAATAAAATAGAAAAAGAGAGGAAAGTGTAGGTAGTAGTTTTTAACAAAATTTGGGCACAGAGAGAGAGAGAGAGAGAGAGAGAGAGAGAGAGAGAGAGAGAGAGAGAGAGAGAGATAAAATAGAAAAAGAGAGGAAAGTGTAGGTAGTACTTTTTTAACAAAAATTGGGCCGGGCATGAGCCAAGCCTGCCATAGGCTAGAAAGGCCACTACACTCATGATTCATGGATACATGATGTCTTTCTAAGTTTTAGAGGTGAGGATACACGGACCAATTTTACAGATCATTTGTACAAGGCCTTGTCTGATAAAGGCATCGTCACCTTCATTGATCGTGAGCTTACACGAGGAGAAGAAATGTCCCCAGCCCTTCTCAAAGCAATTGAAGAGTCAAGGTTTTCTCTCATTGTATTCTCTGAAAACTATGCATCCTCAAGGTGGTGCTTAGATGAACTTGTCAAGATCCTTCAGTGTAAAGAACGAAAGCAACAAATAGTTTTGCCCATTTTCCACAAGGTGGATCCGTCCCATGTACGAAACCAAACAAAAAGTTATGGAGATGCATTTGCTGAACATAACTGCAGATATAAGGATAACATGGAGAAGGTGCTAAAATGGAGGAACGCTCTTAGAGAAGCAGCAAATTTGTCCGGACATATTTTCAAGGATGGAGAGTATATTTCTACCCACTATAGTGCATATATAAATATCGTTAATTTAGTGGCTTCTATATTTAATTGAGAGGTTTATGGTTAAAATTGTTACTCATTAAGAAAAAGTATAGAAATATTTTTGCTCACCACTTTAACTCAAGTTGTACATTCATCACCATTCTCAATTCTTGACACGTTTCCATGGACATGACCATAGTTAACTCTTTGCTTTTATTTTATTTTTAATACAAGCGATTGGGGGAGGGGATTTACACATAAATATTCATTGGGTGCTTGGGGGTTTCGAATCTCTACCCAAATGAGTAGGTGGAGAACTCAACCAACTAAGCTATACTCATTGGCTAGTTAACTCTTTACTTTGTATTTGTAGAACCATAGTTATGCCCATGGACATGTCAAGTGTTGGGAAGGATAGTGATGATATACTCTGAGTTAAAGTGGTAAGCAAACATGCTCCCGAAAAAGTATTTCTTTGGTTATATTTAATTGTTTTGATGAAAGCCGAAAACAGTAGGGAGAATTTTTTTAATTTTATTTTTATTGGATAGCTGTAAAGGAGGAGAAGATTCAGAACCAAAGGCGTACTAGCATATATGATACATAACACTGTATACTATATATATATACTACACTATTAGTTTCCAATCAAAGAGAGAGCGCGCTTGATAAAACTAGTCAATATTGTGAGGTTTATGGTTAAGTGTAAGTTTGATTCACTAAATGCGTCAAATTTTGTTAAACTTTAGGTATGAAGCTACATTTATCAACGATATCGTTGAGGGGATCTTAATCCAATTAATGAACCGGACATATTGGAATGTGGCCAAGTTCCCAGTTGGAATTCAGTCTTGTATACAAGGTGTGGAAAAGCTTTTAGATGTTGGTGGGAAGGGTCGTCGCATGGTTGGGATATGGGGGACATCTGGAATAGGCAAGACAACAATTGCAAAAGCAGTTTACAATGCAATTGCCCATAAGTTTGAAGGAAGTCGTTTCTTGGTAGATGTTGGAGAAAATTCAACGCCGCATAATGAAGGATTAATCCAACTGCAGGAGACTCTTCTTCATGAGATTCTAGGTGCCAAAAGGTTGAAAATTGTCAGCGCTGATAAAGGGATGAATGTTATACAGAAACAGTTGAGTCATAAAAGAATTCTCTTAATTCTTGATGATGTGAATCAATCGGAGCAATTAGACAACTTGGCTGGAGTTGGTTGGTTTGGTGAGGGAAATAGAGTCATCATAACTACACAAGATAGCGGATTGCTAAAATGTCATGGAATTGAGTTGATATACCTTCGGAAGCAACAAACCTCCAAACGATTATTTGGAACTCGCACAACGTGCAACAGCCTATGCTCAAGGAGTTCCACTAGCTCTAACGCTTTTAGGTTCCCATCTTCGTAATAAAGGTGTACATCGTTGGCAAGCTATATTATCATATGCTTACGGAGGAGATCCTTACACAAGTATTCAAAAAATACTTAGAAAGTTATGATGCCTTGAACACTTCCGTGCAACAAGTTTTAATAGACATTGCATGTTTCTTCAAGGGTGAAGATAAGGACTATGTGCTACAAATAGTAAGCAGTTCTAAGCACAAGGTCCCCCAAGATTGCATTGAAGTACTCGTTGAGAAGGCAATGATAACTATTCAAAGCAATATGATTTTGATGCATGACTTGCTAGAACAACTGGGTAAGGATATAGTTCACGAAGAATCTCCCAATGATCCTGGCAAGTGTAGTAGACTATGGTTTCACCATGGATGTATTCCAAGTTCTAACAGAAAACACAGTAAGTATAATTATGTTCCAATATTCAATTTGACAAGAAGTAGTACCATATGTGACCTATAATTTTCTTAACAAAATGTACTTGCATTTTGGTTTGAAAAACGACTCGATATCTTGATATTAATACTTTTTCAACTCAGGGTACAAGAAAGATTAAAGGTATCATGGTGAAGTGTCTGAAACCAAATGGGATACCCTTGATCTTGAATGCAAAAGGCTTATCTGGGATGGTAAATCTTGAAATTTTCATAAACCGTAATGCAATTCTATATGGATGCATTGACCATCTGCCCAATGAGTTGAGGTTGATTGATTAGGGTAGATGTCAGTTACAATTTTTCCTATCCAATTTTCATGCAAGGCATCTTGTTGTATTCAATATGCCTTGTAGTGATATTAGACAATTAGAGATATTTAAGGTACGTATTTCAAATTATTTTCATCTATTATTATTTCGAATAAAGTTCTTATTTTCACGACACAAATTATTGAATTTTTTATTATTTTTATAAAGTTTATGATTTGATAATTTCCTATATCATGTTTTTGTCTCACAGAATAGCCCAAATGTGACATCTATAAATTTAAGTGGGTGTGAATTCTTAGAAAAAATCCGACTTATCTGGAATCCCAAACATAAAGTTCTTGAATCTAAGTCAGTGTACAAATTTGGTTGAGGTTCATGATTCTGTTGGATTCCTTGGTAAACTTGTTAAGTTGGATCTTAGAGAATGCGTTAAGCTTTTGAGGTTCGCAACAAGACTTAGATTGAAATCCCTTAAAAGTCTTTGTGTCCGTAATTGCCAAAGGCTTGAGAGTTTCCCAGAAATAGAGGACGAGATGGAATGCCTAACGATTTTGAATATGGAAGGAAGTGGCATAAGGGAATTGCCTTCATCAATTGTAAATCTTACAAGGCTTCAAGAATTGAGAGGTGATCATTGTGAGAACCTTACAGTTACGTCATTAGGTAGTATATATGGATTGCAACACCTCACTGATCTGAGTTTCAAAGGGTGTCGAAAACTCCTTACATTTGGCGATAAGGTGAAGTCTGAAGTTTCATCCAGCAATACCAAATTACAGCAACTTTTAAGTAACTCAAACATCCCATTAGAGCTTCCCAGCCTGCGTTTTTCTTATCTCCACGGATGCAATTTCTCAGAAAGTGATTTCCTCATGCCTCTTGATTGCTGGAACGCATTAACAGAACTTGATTTATCGGGATACAATTTTGTCACGCTTCCAGGATGCATTAGCAAGTTTGTCAACTTGTTGATTCTTAGATTGCATGGTTGCAAGAGGCTTCGGGAAATTCCAGAAGTGCTTCCACACCATGAGTAGCTTGGTTATACCTGCCTAATTGCACCTCGTTGGAAAATTTTCCAAAATTGACCCAGGGGGTTCGGTGGCTGGATTTGGTCAATTGCTTTAGACTACGCGGCATCGTTACAGAAAATATTTTTCTGAATCAGGTTTCTGTCCTGTAATCTCTCTCTCTCTCTCTCTCTCTCTCTCTCTCTCAATTATTTCGTTAACATGATGATTACTGTAACTAACTATTCTATTCTATACAGCGTTCTGTATCCTTCCAGACAATGAATTCGAAATTATACTTCCAGGCAATGAAGTTCCAAAGTGGTTCAGGTGTTGTAAAGATGCAACTGTAGTTGAAGTAGATCCTGATTCAGATGAGGAACGTGTTGCTGGATGTGAAGTTTGTTTTGAAATTCCTCCAAATGTAAAATGGCAGTCGACCTTAAGTTTACTTCTATGTGTTAGTTATCATGATCCTTATTATTTTCATGCCAAGATTCTTATCAATGGAAAACTCATCAATGAGATATGGGTTAGGGATGAGGATCCAACAGAGACATAGGAAACTCATATGTGGCTTAGGTGTATTCCATTATCGGATTTGGATCCGCAAGGGAAAGTAAGAAAGATGCCGATGCAGCAGGGTAATACTAATACGTATACATTTCAAGTAATATTTAACTTCCCAGACCCAGATAGAGGGCCGATAGGCTTTAAAAGCTGGGGGGTTCACCTATTAGGCCACCAGGTACAGGTTGACGATGATGATATAACGATGATGAAAGAATCAAGGGAAATAGCTCAAAATACCACCCATTTTATAATTTTTTGTGAAAATATCACTCTTTCCTAAAAATTTTAAAACTATTACTTATAAATACATCTTTATTGTCGACTGATTGCACCCATATCACATTTTCAAAAATTTTGTTCTCTCGACCGACCACAGCTTCTTTTGCTTTGCAGGGTCGTAATCGATAGTATTGTCTGCTCTACTGAGATCTTCGTTGCCACCTACCACACATCCACCGGAAAGGCCCTGGCTTTCACATCGTCTTCCGCTTCTTCTCACTTGGACTCACAGACCCAGCACGCCAACTCGCCCAACAGCTCGTCGGCATTGCAGAGATCGCTCACTTCTGTAGCTGCCAGCAAGATGAAGAAGGCATTGGGTCTCAAATCGCCTGGTTCAGGCTCCAAGAAGAATCTTGGGTCCGGTGGGTTCGGGTCGGGACTTGAAAAGCCCAAGCGGGTTATGACGGTGGGTGAGCTGATGAGGATCCAAATAGGGATTTCTGACGCTATGGACTCTAGAGTCAGGATAGCTCTGCTTAGGATTTCTGCTGCAGGTGAGCTCAATTTCTGTGCTTTCTTATTTGTGATCTTGGTTGATCTGGTTTGATGGGTTTGATTTTTTTTGGTGGGTAATGCTTGATTTTTATCATTGTGATAATTGTGATGATGGGATGGATATGGAGCTTAATTTTGCTACTGATTTGGCCAATTTTGGATTTTGGTTTTTCTTACTTTAAAACAAAAAATGTTTCTTCACTAAGTGTAGTTCAATATGATAAAACTGACAATGCAAAATGTTTCACAAATGTTTAATTTCATAATGGGTAATTTCAAACTTTTGTGAATGGTTATCTGCATTGGAATTGTAATTAATCAAGCCTTGTGTTTGATGTACTCATTATAGGTAGGAACGCGAATTGAGTCAGTGGTAGTCCCACTGGAGCAGCTCAAGTCCTCTGATTTTACTGATCAACAAGAATACGATGCCTGCAAAATAAAATAAAGGAGCTTTTTTGGTAATGAACTTTACTTTTGGACACACACATGCACAATGAACTTTACTGTCTTTGATGGCATTTTGTGTTATTTGTTTGATAGGAAGGTGCTGCTGTTGCCGTCGTCGAGGAGGTGAAGAACAACAACCATGTAGTAAGAAAGTTGAAAAAGCATCAACAGATTTGCACCCTTGACCAACATATTGAAGAGCAATTTGGTGGTGGTCGTCTATTGGCTTGTATTATAGCATGGATTGGTCCGAGTGCTTAACGATGTTTATCATGTTTGCATCTCATGCCTTCACTCCCTCAGTTCTCTCGGGCAGCTGTCAGATTGTTTGAAAATAATTGTCCACTTATAATTTGTTGAAGACTCACCTTGTTATATGTTCATTGCCTTACATGGCACATAAATTGTTTCCATTTTGAAGTTGAACTATTTCGTACACCTCTATCTATAAACATAGTTGCTCTTTATGGACGTATAACAATTTACTTGTTTGAAATGACGTGTTCGTTTCTACTGAATTCTGCTCATTTTTGTATCCATTGTTGACATTTAGTCTCTGTGCTTTTCTTTGCAATTTATGTGATATAGGTATATTTCATTTCCTGCATTGGGAATCTGTTAGTGGACTTAGTGAAGCATACAACTTTCTTAAGATTTCTCAGATTAGTTTTGACTTTGTTCCTTTTAAATAATTTCTGCAGCAATTCTACTTTTCTGCTTAGCATTTTATTGTTATTGGAATTTGGAACCTCATAATGTTTAGAAAGGGGTAAGATATACTTTACCCCCATGAACAAATGTGGAAAATCACTTAATATGCTTCCACCACAGTATTAGAAAAATAAGTCCCTCGTTTGTTTAGAATTTTTCATTAATAGCTATTATGTCAGTATATTTACCGTTAGTACAGTTTTAGGGCCAAGTTCGTATGAGCATATGACTAATTTGAAATACGTAATCGATCATTTTGCCCTCTGACTCAATCTTTGAAATATTGGCGTGGTGATTACTAAATGCGCAGTGTGCATGTACAAATAAATGTGCAGATTCGTTTGTTTACTTCCATGTGTTAGAAATCATGGTAATTTAACAGTTTTATCACAGAAGAATGAAGGTTTGGAATGCATAGAAGCCTGCAATATACACTAAGTATAGAGATGGTTACCAAATATCATGTTGAGCACTATGACCCGTGCAAAGTTAAATTGCATACATTAGTTTACTAGTTGTTCTTTATCTTTTTGAAGATTCATTAGTTGTTCCAAAAATTAGCTATCCCTATTAGATCACATAACGTTTGAACTAATGGTCATCAACTCAATCCTGCCTTTGCTTGCTTGGAGAAGCTCTGCTGTTTACTTTTTTTTTGTCAAAAGGTTTAATGAAAAGCTATCTATCCATTCCAAATTAAATTCATGTGTTCTTTGTTTGCCTTACAGGGAAATGGAGGTCAAATAATGGACATATGTCAAAAATGAAAAACAGAGGAAGTGCATAATTCTTTTTTACCTAAAACGCAATAAACTGGTGATACGTTGGTGATACAATGGCAATATAGAAGCGATAAAAGGATGCTAGAAATTGCTGTTTCTGTTTATTTTGGGCTTCTTCTTTTGTTTCATTTCATTTACTTAGCTTTAATAATTGGATGATTACGAGATGAATTTGTGTCAAGTATTAATACAACAATTACATATATGAAGATTAAAACGAACAACATATCGTATCACCAAACATAATCAAACCACCAAATGTAATCATCATTTTCTTCAACCTATCACGAAGCATTTGCATATTTATTCATACCTTCCTTTTTTTGTAAATTATTTTTTAGTTGTTATTATTTTTTAAAATAATTTCTTAAAATGTCTTTTGATGCAATTATGATGCACCTGACTGCCTGTTTTTGAAAGGAACGTTGTTTCTTTCTCGTCGTCGTCTTCTTTTTAAATGAAGTAGGGCCTAAACTGTAAACCCATCGATGGGCCATAGTCAATATACATACAATATAATAGCAATATTAGGCCAATATACATACACTAGAGAGGCGATATTAGGGCAAATAATGGCAATACGACAGCAATAACATCACAATATACATGCACTAGGGTGGCAATATTCATATAATATGTATACAATACACAAGCAATATTAGTACAATACACATGCAATAGGACAACAATATTTTAACTAGAAAACCAATTATAATGCTTTATTAACGAATATATATGCTAAAAAATTATTTCTTTCATAAAACTTGAAAATTCAATTGTTATTACATAGTCAACCAATCTTTGTTCTATTACATACATACTTCCTACCTATAATTATAAATAACAGAGAGCTCACAAATTCTACTAATTTGATCTTAACTTCATCAATTTGTTCTTCGGTGTATGAGTTAACTCTCCCTTCTTGCACATTTTCCAAGCTGTTCTATTCTCCTCCCGTGTAGCAATATCAACAACAACAGGTTATCTACAGATCTGAAATCATAATTGCAGATGATTCTCAATTAACAAAGAGTTAAACTATTTTCTTTTATAACTTTGGTTCTGAAATATATAACAAAATGCAAAGACCTTTGCTTCTGAAAAGGAGCAAAAGTTTGTCAACCAATTCATAGTCAAAGTAGCTTCTTTTCATACTGTTCTTCTTCTTATTCCCTATCCAGCTGTGAATGTATTAATTCATTTAAAATGCAAATGACAAACTTCGTTGTCGGAGACTTAGAATCTTAGAGTCAGAAATTTTATGTACTTCCCCTGTTAAACAGAATTTGTCTCCTTTCAAACAAAGAATCTGAGTATTAATGAATTTGCTTCTGGGTTTTCATTCTAATCAATGGTGAAATACTTACCTTTTTACACCTGCAGGTGACTAACTGGGATGTCCCGCACAGATGAGAAAATGGTAAATAGATGGCCTACTCTTGAGCAGTTTTTATGCACTGGTTCCATTAAAATAAATAGATAAAAACAGAATCTCGATAAATAATCATGTCTACAATTGTCATTTCGCAAATCCGTGGGCTTCATCAGCAGCCTAAAATCAACTTGAATGGTAATACATGAATATTCGGAGTGGAGGTTGCTATGGAGTTACAAAAATGGTCATTATATTGCATGTCAGAAAACTTACAAGTATATGCCTATTGCTCTCTGCTGGACAGTCATTCTCCACTCTTTTTCTCATTCTGGAGCTTCTCAACAACTTCCTCCAAAGGAGGATCTCCAGGTCTTCGAAAAACTTGATCGCCAATCTTTATTTCATAGGCCTCAGGTTGGTTCAGCGCAAACTCCTTCAACTGGAGGCTAGAGGGAAAGAAAGGGATAAAACATTATAAAGGTATCTTTTGACTTCTGATGCCGATATCAAGGTATCTTTGCTTTCATTTAGATTTCGATTTCTCTGCCTTCTCCTCACCCTCCTCATGGTGGTCGTTGTCATGATCGGTTCAAATCTAAAACCAAAGCACCCACCAGTGCAAATTGTGGTACATTCTTTACATCTTTTTCCTGGAAACTGTTTCTGCTGTTCTGTTTGTATAGTTCCTTCTGAACCTTCACTTCTGCAATTTTCATCTGTCACAAAGCACATCTCATAGCCAATCCATAAAAATTTACTTCCTACTTAATAAGCGCTGTCTCTTGCAATTGGCTCCATCATTGAAACCTTGATTCTAAAGAAGCGTAATTTCTTTTTCTTTTTTTACATTTCATGACTTTTCCGCGAGCAATATCCTCTCCCCTGTTCTTGCTCTGTTTTTTCCTTCTTCATTTCTATTGCTATTTCCTTGTGTTTATGAGACTTAGATACTTTATAGGCGAATGTAGAATACAGCAAACTTGAGCAGGCCAATGTATCATCAATTTCTCTTTTCTTCTGTTTTAAGACAAGTATTTTCTTTCTTACACAGATGAAAGATATAATTACATATGTTAACTCAAATTCCATTGTTTTATTCATAACAGCAATACAGTAAAAGGAAATTCTGCGTCTACATTTCCTACATTGTGAAAGAAAAAAACATACACCATAAGGTACGCAAGAACATCATACCAAATAGTTAATGGGAGAAGTTCCCGTTAAGTTCTTACAAATAATAGCACAACAAATATACTAAAATGGTTCCTTTATTTCATTGAGATCCCTTATCATCACTCAAATACTTGAAAACTAGTACAAATAGGAGTCCTTCATCGCATCCATCTTCAACTGAAGGGAAGCATGTCGTCTCAAAGGTGCTTGCGCTAAAGACAAAGGTTAAACAACCCATAAGATTGAAAGAGATAAATCATATAAACTAAGGGCCCATTTGATAATCATTTCAATTTTAGTTTTTAGTTTTCATTTCTTATGTTCTGTAATATCTGCATGTATATTCGGGGTTAAAAACAACTAACTTGCATCATTTAATTTCATAACTAGTATGTAAGAAAGATAGTAGTAATTACCATTTATTTATTAAGGATCCTTTGCTTGATGATTTCTACCTTCACGTACAGCCAATCGTTTAGAAAGGTCAAGAAATTGAAGTACGTATATCTGCATGACTTGTTGAGCATAAGAGTGCCGCAAACTCCTCAAAATCCAACGGCAAACCCAAGCCCCATGCTGATGTAAAATCCTTGTGTTATGAGCCCATCTTTGTCGTCTTCATTCACCAACACAGATTGTCCTGGTCCTTTTTCCTCCTCAGAGCATGTCCTTGGGAGTGGTTCTCCACAAAGCAGAGGATTTCCACCATAAGCAAAGTCAAAGGTTTGAGGCTGAGTGCCTATTGGAATTTTTCCAGACAAGTTGCTTTCTAACAAGTCCAAGTAACCAATACGATTTATCCAAGAAATACTTATTGGAATTCTGCCATTTATCTGGTTTCTTGATAAATCAAGAGAATCTAACTCCTGCAAATTTCCAATCCTTGAAGGTATTTGACCTGTTAATTGATTTCTCAACAAGTTTAAAGAAACCAAACCAACAAGACAAGTGATTTCAGTAGGAATCTACTTATTGCATGAGAGATCAATACTCTTTACAAGTCCCAGAATACTTTTGTATTTTGACCTTACTCCTTTCCATGTTAAAGATTCTTCATACTCATAAGGCAAATCATATGATGATTCTTCCCACCAAAATGTAGTGTAACGTATGATACTTGGACTTGAGTGTCCATTTTGAGCCAAAGTAGTCAAATTGTTGAGACATTTGGGTATAGTTCCAAAGATGTTGTTCATCGACAAATCCAAAATTTGAAGGTGTGTAAGATGGCATAACTGTGGCGGGATGCTCCTATAAAACTGATTAGATTGAAGGATAATGATAGACAAATTTAGAAGATTTCCCCTAGCCGTTCAGGTATTAATCCTGACAATTTATTTTCCCCAACATCAACAAGTGTCAACTCTTCGCAATTCTTCAATTGTGAAGGCAACTCTCCGACAAATCTGTTATTATTTAGTTTTAGTGTCTTGATACTAAACAAGCATCCCATCGTGGTAGGAATTTTTCCAGATAAAGAGTTGTTGCTCAAATCGAGAAAGTCTAATTGTTAAAAATGGATCCAGCAATCTGGAAGTTCTCCGGATAAATGATTGCTTGAGAGATCAAGATAGGTTAAATTACGCTCCTCGGTTGTACTCATACACAAAAATGAAGCTGACCCTGAAAATTTATTATTGGACAAATCTAAAGTTAATACGGTTGATAGGATTGAAGGGATTGGACCCTCCAATTGGTTCCAACTCACATTTAAATAACTGGATGCTAACTCTGATCTCAAATTTCCTCTAAGTTGATTGTGAGACAAATCCATATACTCGGCTTCATTTTCCCAAAACCAAGTTGGAATGGTATCAGAAATTCCAACATCAGAAATATCCAGCCAGCGATTACTTTTCTGAGTTCGAAGCCATTTCGGGAAATACGGCCCCATCTTACAAGACCCCAAACCTATCTGAACCAATTGAAAGGGAGGAACCCAATCAAAATTGAAGTTTAAAACTAGTGAGTTAGAGGATAAATCCAAAAATCTTAATTTGGAGAGTTTCGAGAAATGAGTTTCTGAAATGACTCCTTCAAAAGAATTCATATGCAAATCGAGAAACATCTTTGCTTCTTGATGGTAGACTCATTTGATGATGTTTATTTTTCACCATGCATGTGGTATGCCTCCTTGCTTATTTGTGAGTTTGTGCGTTTCATGTGGTGGCTTGCTTTTGTCCCTGCCATGCTTTGCTTCTTATGCGTTTCAGACAGCGATGGGTCTGCTACTACTGTCTCTTCTTGCTCACATACTTGGCATGTTTATGAATGGAAAATAATTATTTCTTCAAGAGAACTTTGGGTCTGCATCTACAGTGTGTTTTATGTCTTGATTGTTTTGAGTTTTCTGTCTTCAGTGTGTTGCTTTTGTTTTTGTTAAGTATTGATTCTTAACTTCTCATTATTCTTTTTCGCTTCCTATTTTCCTTTCGTTTTTGTTCTCTTTAAAAATTT